TGGAGTTAGGCTGCTTCTGTCCAAGGAGGCTGACTTTTAACCACTGGCTGCAGCCACTATCGGAAAATCAGAATGCCTTCAGAAAATGTATTTCTGCAAAGCATTTGCAGCTGCTGAGTTTCAGTGGACAATCTGAGCTCGCTTTGGGGAATTGCTACTCGCTTACGTGCTTCTAGCTTTAGGCCCCGCTGTTCTGTTGAACTGGTGCATTGTCAGGAAGGTAACAAAGGTTTATCCAGACAATCAGAAGGATAATCAGTGGCACCTTTTCAACTCACACACCGGATTCAAAGGCAGAATCTTCCGATGGGAGTCAGAAAAGGGGCTACCAGGGTCCTGATTTTGTGCTAACCCAGACTCTCCTCCTCCATCAACTACAGCTTCATCCAGAGCTCTTTCTTCCCACCCAACGATGCGAAAAGACCCACCTCCAACTTTGTATGACAAACCACAGGAAAAGAAAGAAGCAAAAACTTCAAGAATCGTAGCAATGATCTCCACCAAGCCATAAATAAATCCCTTAGTGCAATATTAAAACTGAACCGCTTCAGAATAGGAGACAGAGCATGCAGGACTGAACTAATCCTCTGCGTGGGGGTCTATATCAATGTTTACTACAAGTTTACTACAGTTTTTTTGACTACAATGTTTCCTCCAATGTTTTACTACAAAGTTTACTACAGTTTTTTTGACTACAATGTTTCCTCCAATGTTTTACTACAAAGTTTACTACAGTTTTACAGACTACATTTACCACTGCATTGTGTTTTTCTGGTGTATAACTCTACCAGAAAAATACTACTATACACTGTTGTAAATGGAGCAAACCTTAACAAAGTAACAAAGTATAAGGAAAACAAGGAAATATTGAAAAGTAAACAAAACCTGCACCACCAAACGTGGTACATGCGAACACAGGAGGGGCTACAAACCTTTCCCTAACTTTCCAGGGACTGAAGAGTTCTTGACCTGCCCGGGCGGTGGGTGGGGGGCAGAACAAGAGGAAGACCTGAATCACCTCCCCACTCTGTAATGGCTCACTCAGAGGAGGCCTGTACCACAAACAAGGTTTACCTCTTCTGGAGATGCCAGGCTAACTGTCCACGCTGGACAACCACAGGGTTTGAGAATCCTCCTTTAATCCACCCCCTGAAAACTGGCTTTCCCTGCAGTCTGGCCCTGAAATAAGGGGGAGGCTGCTTGAGTGAACTCCTGTCTCCCTCCTGCGATCATGAATGGGAAAGGGGTGGAGCTGGCGATGACACCATGAATGAAAGTGGGTGGGGCACAAGGCCCTTGAATGGGAAGATGTCACCAGCAGAGGACCGGGAACAGTAATTATGAATGGCAGAGGCAGCCGCCTGGGATTGCAAGTGAGGAAAGGGGGTCAGAATAGGGGGGGGAAGTGCCCCCAAAGTGACAGTAGACTGGGGGCCTCAAGGGCCAGAATGCTCTGCACTTCCACAAACTGGCAACATTGAAAGCTCTTGAAAACAGGTGATGCAATTCACTTTATACCTCCCTGAAACTCTCTGAAAGACAGAGGCCTCCTTTACGCATCAGGCCAAGCCATGGTTTAACCAGGCTTATTGACAAAGGCTTTCACGGCCAGAATACAATGGCTGGTGTGGGTCTTCCGGGCTGTGTGGCCGTGTTCTGGAAGTTTTGATTCCTAACGTTTCGCCAGCTGGCGAAACGTT